AATATGTAAAGTCACACTTTAGGGCCAAAAGTTACAATCACATGTTTCTTGAGATACTCGATGTAAGATCCCTTCATACGAGTAATAGAACTGTCCGTCGACTTCCGTTACTACAGTGTTCTCGACCTCTTTCATATTCTTTAAAATGAAGTTGAAGGCATATGGCTGAAGTCGCTTTGAATACAAAGCTTCATCAATTCCAAGCTCAGAAGACCTTGTTGTCAAAACTGACTTCGCCATATCCTTATTTCTTTCATTTCTTAACGAATTTATGAGAATGAAAAAATTTTGGATGAAATTGTTCAACGAAGAAAAGGGCTTGATGATTGTCTTTAATTTGCCATTCATGCACTCCAGCCTGTTGTAAGTCCTGTTCAAAAGACTTTCGTGTTTTGAACACATAAGGGTCCATTCCTAAAAAACGAACAATTTATATAAATTGAAAATTAATTTCAAATCAAAAAGCTTTATTATTTATTATAATTATTATTATTTAAGTATTTTAATTTTTGTATTCAAGAAATGTATGAAATTTCAAATTGAAGCCTTGCTAACAGAGCAGAATTTCACTACGAGTTCTTAAAAGTTAAGTGCGACATTTTAAATATAATAATAAGTGAATCTATTAAGTTCAAATCTATTAAAGTGAAAACGTTTTACTGAGGAATTTAATAAAATAAAAATTCCGTTTTAGTTATATTCTTCAATTTTCATTGCTAACTAATCGTAACTAATATATTTAGGGAAAAAACTTTTTGAATCTTTGCATAATTTTCAGAAAACCACTAATGCATACACAAACACTATTTCTTATAATCATGGTCGTCAGTATTTTATAAAACAAACCAAATACAAGAGTATCCACCAGTCAGAATGAGATAAAGAAAATGTACATACAAGAGGTAAGCTTATAAATTATAAAATTATCTATAAAAATCATAACTAAATACTTTCTATTGCTTCACGTAATTGACTACCAGTAATTGATAGCCAGATGGTCTAAAAGTTGGCCTACGTTGGCATTTTTAATTACCATTTAAATAATATCTTCTTAATTTTTTTTTATAAATGGTTATACGTATATCTAATAATTCTTTTTAAAGATATGTCTTTGCCAAAAAGTACTAAAACAAGACTGTAAGATTATTATAAAAATTTATATGGTAAATAAAAACAATCTTTATTGTCAAAAGTACTAATACAATAGCATGTCTCAAAATAGAATCTCCTAGAAAAAGTTTTCCTGAGAAAAAGAAATCCTATCGATTTTGAGGATTCCACCGTCTGAGAGTGATATGTTTGCAATTAAGACTTACAATTGGGTACTTCATACTTACTGTTAAGTGAAACAAACTTACTTGTCGGATAGGGTGCCAATTCTTATTGAAATAGTCCACCACACGTTTTGGGCAAGATGATAATAGTTTCTCGTATATATCTTGATATAGAATTTCATTTCTCGCATACGCCATTTTCATCAGGAGCTGTCTCGCATTAGAAACTTCCTCTTGGGTCAATTTCATTTTATCACATGTTACACAAGTACATATATTATCTAACATTAGCTACAAGTATATGCATATAATGCTTCGATTCATAAATCCTGCTCTCAATTAAATGATTATCGGAAAACAAATTTAGGCTTCTAAACTATCATACCAAAAGACCGGATTTAACCTTATGAAAACTTTTGGGCTATTAGGTTAAAGTTATATTATAAATGAAATGTTCAAGTAAATTTATTGGCTAAGATCGATAATCAAATGTGTAAACGAAATTAATAATGGTTTCAAATTTGTTGATTTGTGTTCAAAATGTCTTTCTTATTAGTATAGCGAAATGTTCTATTACATTAGTATCTAAATTAGTATACCTCTTTATTTATTCTCCAATAATTGAAATAAATTTCATTGTGGCTTAGATAAATTTCAGAGATCAAATAAATGACAACAACAATTGTCTATACTAGCTCTATAGCTTCTCCACACTGGGCCCGAAAATTTTTCTATGGAAATATCAAACAACTTTTTAAGTGTAGATATAAAAAAAATGCAATAAAACTTCTAAATTATAGTTTTAAAAAAGTACTTCACCAGTTAAAAATTATATTTAATAAGGTTTTTTAACAAATTGGTAAAAAATGTTCACATCTCTACCCCATTACTTTTCTCGATACCATAGGGCTTATAAGTTTGCTGTCCGAATACTGAAGAATTGTCCATGTTTGGTCCATGTATAAAATATTGTTAAAAAAATATCTCACGGGAGTCGCCAGTGATAACGAGCAAGTACTACAGAACCCTATAATACGAAAAATATTTATGCAATTGCATAGTATATATTAAAGAAATTCAGTCAAAGAATAATACAAAAAAAAAAATTTTTTTTTTTTAATTAATTTTTCAATTATATAAATTTTTTACCTCCATGCTTATGATTATTTTTTTTTCATGTTTAAAATATGGTTAATAGTTACCTCTCTTTTAAATGTCCGGAGTGTGTGAAATAGACAAATGGCTAGGGAAGCGTGATCAAACTTCTCCTTAAACACTCCCCTCTCCGTAATATCCTTATCTGTCATGATTAATCCAGTTTTCTTCGAATTAGGGTTATTGTTTTTAAAAGACTGGATCAGCCATTCTAAGGAGAGTTTGTCTTCTCTGGCCAACAATCCTACTCCTGCTATCTCACTATTACCTGCAAATTTATAAATTTTTTCATCAACATTGTATTGCAGAATTTAAGGAGAAAATATTTTAATTTATTACATCCATTTGATTATGAGCAAATATAATTGTTTGCTTCGATATGCACATTTTTATGTGGTCATAAAAAAAACTAATTTGTTATGGAAAAATCAAAGTAGTTGGAATATTTATTTTATTTCAATTTCGTTAATATTTTTAAATGTTTATGTTTTTGCACGTTAAAACTAATTATCAATATTATCATTGACAGACAACTCTTAACACTTTTGTTGCTAATCATGCGATGTCATGTTATGAAATTCTCGCCTGCAGTTTATATCAATAAAACAGATCTGTTAGGGGATAGCAAAATGCATATTATCATTCAACTATTTTTGCAGAAAGTATGATAATGTTTTCTCATGACAATAACATTTGGTTTTTTAAAATAAACTTATTATAAAATTTAAAAACAAATCGTTACTAAAATAAAGAGCAATAATTTAGTTTTAGATTTTATCTTTATAGATCGATTACCACTTTTCAATCAATGACATAGTATAATCACCTGCACTCGGCTGGTAACGAACTTGTTTAGGATGAAGATCTATTTATAAAAATTAAAATCCTTTTATTGTT